CCGATGCTCCCAGTCCAAGTGTGGGTGGCACTACCTACTTGGATACCTGTCGTGGCTCAACGGAACCTCGCTCTAAGCCCATGGCTAGAGCACCTAAAGGCGAAAGGCGGGGAGAGTACCCATGAGGCTTGCGTAAGGCCACGGTGTTCCGAAATGTTGTCCCAAAGTCCCAAACGGTGAAAGGGAAGAGGAGTAGGCCTCTAATGTAGTGACCAAGGATACGGTCACATGGTGAGGAAGTCCTAGAGGATAGTGGGACTTAGTGGTTGGGCCGGTGGGCCTTGATCCAGTGGCAGTGTTGGCGAACACAACCAAGGACAGAAAGGGACTTGGTGGGGACCGGAATAGAGATATTGGGGAAGGCTATTCCCCATGTCTGTAGGCATCCTAAGGATGTTAAGGAGTGGATCTGGGATGATCACTCATGGACGGATGACCCAGTCTTGGAGAGACGGGATTGGAATGCAGGTGGTGTTGGACCACCAGTGTGACCAAGGTAAATGGGCATGGCCTTAGCATAACAGGCCGATACGTCGGTGGTACCTTGGGGTGTTGATCAAGGGATCAGACACGTGGAGCACTTGGACCACGTGCTAAGGTTGAGTGGCACGGATGCCATTCTTGGGGCTAGCAAGCCCCAAGTCCTGAGTTGGACTTATGGAGGTTGTGAATGAGACTCCTCCAAGTGGTCGGAGGTGTGGTTAAGTGACTAAAGTAGAATGGAAAAATTAGTCGCCTACAGTTATGATGTGAACTGTTGCAAATATGACTTTAGGTATCAAAAGTTACCTGTTAGTTAATCCTTGTGGATATTCTTTCCTTACTACCATGATAGCAAGAGGTCAAAAAATATCTTTTTTTTAATCTCCGCCTAAGCTAGTTAGGAAATTGGTCTTTGCGTATGCACTTGACTAGATGAGCATCAAGACAGAATTCCTAAATGCTATTAGTAAAATATATTTGACTTAGTTAAAGAAACTCATTCATTGACTTGCACTTACTAGTGTTGCCCTATGATATTAAGCTTGGTCCCTCAATATTTGTCAGATGATAGCTTACCGTGTTTGCCAAACACCCTTGCTATCATACACTTTGTGTTAATACCATTCAGTGAAACATGTATATACATTCCCCAATGCCCTATAGGGATTAATACAAAAACCAGGCATGCTGCCCAAAGGTCACGTTATCTAGTGGAGATCTCCTTCATCTAAAGTGAGACTAAGCCTACAATACAAGTGGCTACTGTTGCCTTCATTGTGTCGCATCCAGATCCAAGTCCCCCCTTTGTGCTAACTGCAAGATTGACTCTAGGGGGTGCCATCTCCAATGAACCTTATTGTGGTCTCCTTCACCGAAACATGGTAGCCATGCTTTCTGCCACTCCTCGAGCCTCTCGAGCCTCCCCCTGTCTTGGAGGATAGCATGGTGAAGTCGTACTGCCCCCAATGTAAGTCTCCACCATTCTGCTAGTACCTGTGATACTTTGACCTATATCCCGTCGAAGTGCACCCGGTTACGTGCTTCCCAAAGGGCTTGGACTCTCATCACACGCCATACCACCCATCAAGCATGGCCAAGTGCCTCCCACACGGGGACTCCTATCTCCACCCCAGTCATGTCCTAGTGGACCTGAATCCCCCAACTGTGTCGTCCTTTGCACCTGATGTGTTGCAGGGCTAGGCCCTAAGCAAGACCCCTCGCTCCCTCAAACCAGTGGAGCACATCCCCACTGTGGGCCTCAAAATCCTGTGTAACGCCTAGCTCTTTCCCTACCTTAATGATCTGGCGCCACACCTCCTTTGTAGTGTCGCACTCCCACAATGCATGCTTGATTGTCTCGATTTCACCACACTCCCTGCATATGTGACTCGCGTCATCCTGGAATTGCTGTCCAACCGGGAGACCGTTGTTCGCTACCAACCAGGAGGTGACTTTCACTTTTTCCTGCACGGGCAGCTTCTAGAAGTGAATCGTGTTGTCCACCACTTGCTCCGTGTCAACCCCCTATGCTATCCACTTTTGCCATAGCTTTGAAATCTCCTCTCTTGCCTCCTCCCACGATGTCAGTAGTCCATTCCGCGCTTCCTTGACTGCACATGAGAAAAAGCTTCCCATCCCTCGTCACCATGTGGCAGGGTCCCAGTCCAGATCTTCAAGCAGCTGCTGTCACCACCATATCAGTGGTCCATCGCCCTCTAGCAGGTCTTCTGATTCCACCACGTCTAGCCTCTTGGGTGACTGCCTAAGCACACGAATCCTCCCACATACCTCATCGTCCATGACGTCCAGCATCACTTGTCTCTCACCCATTGGGAGGAGCATATCTCCTCTTGTGACGCAAAAAGGCCATCCTATGTTGTGCTCTGGTGCAGCGACGAACCACGCCTCAACATCCCCTTCTTCCCATGCTGGTGTAGGTGTAGTGAATGATCGAGTCCACTTCCCCAACAGATGTCGCACTGCATCGTGCTCCTCCCACTCTGTTTGCTACTAAATTGCCACAAAGTCCCCTGCTTTAAGGCATCTTCTCGGCCACTTTGTCCCTGCTTTCGTGTCGTTCACCACCCGGAGGAGTCGCAGAACGTCTAGCAGGATGTTGCATCACTTCCAAGGTCCAAAAACTTGAGTCCTTCTTGCTGTTCACCACCAATCCCTGTCAATCATTCCCGCCAGTTGTTTCATGGTCCAGAAGCCGTTTGCATGCATTTTTCTCCAGATTGTGTGGTGAGTCTCTCGTCCTAGTGTCACACCTCCCACTTTGAACAATGTATTGAAAAACAGAGACTGGTTAAGCCACTCCTCGGCCCTGGTCGGTGGTACTTGCTCCAGCGGAAAGGCTTTCCACAGTCGGTGAAGGCTCTGGATGAAGTTGCCCCCTTTCACTACTTGAGTTGGTCCTTTTACGAAGAGCCACCGTGGGTCCTCCTCCCAGGGTTTGGCTGCATTGTGTTTGGGGTGTATCACTAGGAGGCTCTGCCAAAACATGAGTTGCCACGGCTGTCTCCCCTGTTGCAGTCCCATAAGAAAAATCTTGTACCTCAACACCACCATGTCACTGGGGTCAATGATCCCAAGCTCTCCTAGGATGCACGGCCTCGCTGTAGACTGCCATGCCACCTTGGCCATGGTTCGCCCTGTAACCAATGCTCCATGCTATACGTAGGTTCGCACCATCTATCACACCTTCTACAATGTAGTTTCCAACACCGGCCAAATCGAGAGGTGGTACCAGATGTTAGGGAGGATCATGCCCTTGACTACTACGATCCAAGCTGGGAGCCCGAGTTTCCTCAGTGTTCATTTCTAAACTGCAGTCCAGATCCTCCTGAGTAGTGTATCATCCTGTGTGGCCACACTGTACTGGACCCCAACCTGGATGCTGAGGTACCGAGTGTCTTCGCCACTGATATCCTATCTCTTGTCCCCAAGCCTCGATGCTTGGCTTTCCCCAGTTCACTCCTACTAACTTGTTCCAGTTTATAGCTACTCCCGCTGCCATGCTGAAGATCTTGAGCTTGGACCTTGCTGCGTCCAGGTTCCCTAGGGTGGCGAGCAGGAAAAGTGCAATATCATCTGCAAATGCCCCATCCTACAACTCTTGTGTCACAACTTGAGTTCCCAGAAGTTGTAGTTGTTCAGAGGGCAGCACCAGGCCTTTTATATCCCCTCTATGTGCGAGGAAAGAGCCCAGTGTCTCTGCTACTATCAAAAACAGGTATATGGGTATGTAATTATCTTTTTTTTCTGCCATCAAACATCTTCTGTCTTGGGGAATTGGAAGCTTGGCAAGGCCGCCTTGGGAGAGAACGTCAAGACACAGATCGTACCTTCAACTTGAGCTCTTCAAGCTCTACAAATTCGGTAAGCTTAAACTCTTGTATTGCAGTTGTTTGTTGATTTTTCTTGTTTGTATATAGAGGCCTGTCCCTTCTGTAGACGAGTGAGAGAAGCACGATCTTTCTGCCAAGGTAGTGTCTCGCAGAAGTTGCAGATGGAAACTTTTTTAATTTTTGTGTAGTTGTATCCGTGCCCCAAAGGATCTCGAGTCCATCGTGCGTTTGTGAAATCGTCTGGAGGCAAAGAGCAGTAAGTGATACACTCTTGTCTGTAACAAATTCTCATCGAATATGACAGGTTTCCATTTCTCTTGGATCCAAACACCGGCATGTCAATGTACGAGAGCTGTGAGTAACTTTCTTGTTTTCTTTCCATCACAATCAGCTTGCATGAATGCCTCTGGCAGCCGATATTGTCAACTACTTGTTCCAGGAATATGGTGAGAGAAGCAAGCCAACATTCGGGATTTTAGAAAGGTAAGAAGTTTTATTGAAGTGTAAACTCTTCGGTATTTCATCATAGTGTGTTCCAGCACTTTAGTCACTGGCTGGGTGCTGACAATAATACGAGCAGGGGGAGGCATGTCACTGTGGAATGGAGCATTGCCAAATCCTCCACAGAAGCTACTTGAGCTCTACTCGAACAACCATGTAAAGTGCTTTGTTTTCAAAGAATTCTAAAAGTTTTTGGTAGTTTGCAAGGCTGCTAAGAGAAGCCCTGTGCGACCTGGAACTTCCTTACACGGGCAAAGGGTCACTTAATTGCTCCAAGCTCAAGCAAATCTCGGGTTCAACACAGGTAACCTATTGGTCTATTTTTTTCCCTTCATTATCATTGTCAAGAACAGGTTCCACTGGTTGATCCCAACACTGGCATACAAATAGTCTGCTATCTCTTCGCTAACTATAATTCGAACCGATGTTGATGCAGATTTTCCAATCAGCTATCATCATGTTCACTCCATTGAGTGGTACTAATAGTGTATCGTGCATTTCTCCCAAGAACAGCATAGGAAATGGCAGTTGCTACCATCAGCAAACGGAGGTACCAGCTAAACAGCTGTTCCCACAACTTTGGACTGGTTGGCTTTCTAGAACGTACGGAAAATGTACGGGGTGATCTGGACTAGAGAGAGAAAGAGTTTAGGGTAGGCATTCCTTTTGTACCCCATTTTCCAATAAATGAGGCATTTGGCACATCACCTGGTCGCTTTTCTGCTACCGCCGGGAACGAGCTCAAGGTTGGGAGGTATGGGTCATGATGTGGGGATCGTTCGTGATTTGGGGTCGTGTCCTTGGTAGGAAAAGAGGAAATTCTGCTTCGCATGCATCCAGGATGCCCCTGGGGGGAGGGTGTGATGTCCTGGACTGAGAAAACCCAAAACCATGGCTGGGACAACAGTTCTTGGGCAGAATTTGAGAGCCTTGGATGCGCACACAGTGGCTATCATCCTGTTTAAGTCTTTCTTTCTTGACTTCTCGACTCACTGACCAAACTTTTTGTGACGAGGTTTGAAGTTCTGGAGAGCAAGGACGAGCTTGATCTCATTGGACAACAACCACCAGAATCGCTGCGGCAGTTTAACCAGCGCTTTCAGTCTTATATTCGTAAATTCGTCTTGTGTGGCGACTTGATACGGCTGTGCATCACTTTGCCAAGTTCCAGCCTTCTTGGATTGGTCCTTATCAGGTACTTTCTCGTGCTGGCACTAATTCGTATTGGCTAGCAGAGTTGTTACATTTGAACTGCTTTCTATGTTTTCTTGTTCCGTGGTCTCGTTCGTCTAGTTGTGGCCTGTCGTTAACAATCTTTCACTGGGGATGGCCAAAGCGCTTGGTCTCTCTGGCGTTGGAAAGTTTCATGGCGGTTGGTTCTCGTCGACAGTTGGCCAAGTCGCTTGGTCCTTTCGGCTTGTCAATCGACTGCCTATGACGGGCTGCTTCAAGGATGGATGAGACACGGGGAAATTTGTGTGATGCCTTTCTGTGCTTATTGTCTTTCTTTCATACCATTGCCTCGGAGCTTGAACATCGATGCTACCTCAGAATCTTTGACTTTGGACCTCCAATCACTTGGGATTGAGACTCATTCGCCCCTTGAGAGTGCACTCCATCAACACTGAATCTCTTAGTATCTGCGCACTTGGGACGTGCTTTCCCCAGTCAGTCGCCAAATACGAAACGTACGGGAGAGTGTTATAAGAGGGTAGACATTCTTTGGATGATGTTAGTGCATAGGTCATGAAGGGAACCGCCATGGAGATGTGCTCCAGGTCGAGATAGCTTCGTGTCGGCTGGATATGCAGTGGAATAACTCCAGCACTGCCAAGGAAGAGAACATAGAATTCAGGTGGTTTTACAACAAACCTGGAGAATCGCTCAGGTTTTTTGTGGTTGAAGAACTACATTTGTAATGAAGAGCAAGAGTCCCCAGGAGAGGCATGCAATCCATGACCTAGGTCAATCTGCTGAAATTTAAGTTGAACCTAAGTTGCAAAGATTGCAGGAAATTTCACTAAAGCATAAAATAGTGATAAAGTCATCTCTTATCTGTAAATTGTTTTTTAAGTTTTGCCATCTTGAGCTTAAGTATCAGGTGTTGAGTAGGATTGATGCTAATCTACCGTCAAGCATCCAACCTTTTACATATTTATCTAAATATTTATTTCGAAATATTTCTGATATGTAGATGATAAAAGAAAATTTAAAAATTTTAAATATATTTATTCAAAATGAAAGTAATAAAATACTTTAGTTTTATATTATTTTAAAAAATTATAAGTTAAATTTTTAGTTTCATATAAAATGATGGTAACATGAAGAACAACAATATTTTCTAAATTTTGTAATATACTTCTTGTTTGCATCCTTTTTAAAAATATATATATACTTATTTATCAGTTTTGATATAAAAAACATGATCTTGTAAATCCATGTAATAACTATAATTGAGATAAGGTTATTGCTAATGGCAATCCCCTTATCTCAATCAATCTCAATAGAGTTTGATTACAAGAAAATGATGAAAAGGAAACACAAAAGGAAGTTAAGCAATATAAATTATAACTAAACTTAATTCAATTTATAAATATTGATTATTAAGGTTAAAAATTGTCAATGTTGTGCCATTTCTAGCCTCCTGATAAGAGTTGTATCACCATGTTTGTGTATAAGTGATATAATCTTAACAATTGCTCAATGTGGCCATCTTCCAATTGCTATCATATTATTCCATATGTGTAATAACTCTGGCCCAATCCAATCCTAATGTTTTTAATTCAAGGGTTTGTTTTAAATAGCTATTAATAATATTTCATTATCTTGTGCATTTTTTGGAGGCTTATGTGCATCATATCATAATCATCCATAAAAGAGATGTATTGACTTGTAAAAGTCCTTATAGAACAAGTTTTCACTATAAACCATTTTAAATATCTAAATTTAATTAATGCCTCCATTTTTTCTGCTTCTAAAGTAAACAATTACTCCTTTATTTTTGATAGTTAGGTTTAAAATGTAGAACTTTTTTGTTGTTGCTTGATCAATATTTTGATAGCTTTTATATCCCTTTTAATGACTTATATTTTATTAGATCTTCTCCTTCACTTAGTCTATGTTTTTTTCATGGAGCTCACTGGTTATTTTAACCATGAATTTGTTAACTTCCTAGCTTTCTTTTATACAATAATTAGTGTATGTGTTTTCAAATTGTTTTTTTGATAATGTAGGCTTCTTGATTCCACATCTTTAAGGATTAATGTTGTTAACAAAACAGTGATCCAAGAAGTCTTTATATTCTATAGCAATATTTAGTTTCTCATTATTATGACATAAATTCGGTGACAAATAAAAATGTTTTATTTGTCTTTGATAAAATTAAAATCTCCGGTAACAATCAATGTTGAAGGTTACAAAGGGAGCTCCTTTAAGATCTCTTGAAAAAAACAACCCCTCTCTAATGAATAACTTACCAATGCATATACCTTTAGAGAGCATTAGTCATATATTTGATTTTAAATTAAACACATTACACTTGATCCCAGAACCAATATTATGTCTATTATAAAGTAACTCCCACAAACTTTAACCATTACTAGCATCCCCCTACTACATCCTATTGTCAAGTTCCAAAAGGTTTTTTTTTTTGCAAACTTATACACTAAATTCACACTTGAAAGACAATGGTTTTGCACACATAAAAAATCATTTGTGATATTCCTTATGATGTCAATAGAACTATCATACCTAGGCAAAATGCATATTACATACTCACTATCATGAAACTTGTTATGCATGTTTTTGTAAAAGGCATGATATGTCCATGTAACACACGTGGTTTTCACCCTTTATTTTATGGTGATTTATCATAGAATAACCACAAAGTGGAATCTAAACCCTCTATATGCCATATGCTATATATCACATATCCAATGGACAACAAAGTGGAACTCGAGTTTTAAAGCCACTCATTGGGCCACTGAATGAAGATATGGAGCTAAACTCCCAAACTTGCAGCTAATGAGTGAAAGAATTGGAGTATGGTGTGATTTTTGAGCATTCAGCCCAAAAAGTGAAGAGACAGGAGCATGGAGTGATGTAGGAATAGTCTTAGAGCATTCAACATTTTAATACCAAGATTAGCATGCAAAATGGACCCAAATAAAGTTTGACACTATTTCAATATACCAGTGGCTTAACGTAAAGATATAGGTATTTCACTAATTAGCATGGTATGGAACTTGGACTTAGACCCAAGTTGGATGCAAAACAAAGATACGCATGCAAATAAGAGTTAAATATGCCTTAGTTAGTCGGCCAGACTAACTACCCACTA